CCTGCCTGTGTGTCTTTGTGCTGAAAAAATCAGCACAACATGCTTTAAAACATGATTTAAAATTGGCTTCGTTGAAAAAAAAGATTTCTAAAGTGCTTTGCAAACTGTTCCCTGCCTTCCTCCTCGTTTCCTGAACCTAAGGGGAAAAAAAAGAAAAAATATTCCCCTCTAGTGGCAGAAGCCGGAATAGCAGCTTCCCATTAGTTTCTATGGACGGAAAAGAGCAGATACAGATTAAATGGTTTTCAATGCATTCCTATGGGAAATGCAGATTCGACCTAAGAAATTTTCGACCTAAGAACCACCTTCCAATACGGATTAAGTTCGTAAGTCGAGACCCCACTGTAAAGAGATAAAAGAGGAAGAGATTACAGAGATTATTAATAAACTAAAAAATGGTAAAACTCCAGGTTTTGATGGATTAGGTTCGGAATACTATAAAAACTTTTAAACTGATATTGATCCCTAAACACAAAGTGCTCTATAATGAAATATTGGAAGGAGAGAGAATATCAGATTCATGGAAACATTCATTCATAACTCTTATCCCAAAGACCTAACAGACCCAAGTTCATATAGACCTATTTCATTATTAAATCAAGATGCAAAGATATTTACAGCAATACTTGCAAATAGAATTAATAAATTGATTAGAAAATATATTAACGAGGATCAGAACGGTTTTTTGAAGGGTAGGCAAATGGAAAATTTAACTAGGAGGGTCTTGAATATTATATATAATATAGAAAAAATAAACTGAAGGCAGGCATTTTATCATTAGATATATTCAAGGCATTTGATTGCGTGGAATGGCCAACATTAAAGATTTTGTTAAAGGGTTGGGGTTTTGGAAAGAAGTTTAGGGGATAATAGATCAATTATATTTAGAGAATACCTCTGTAGTAATAGTTAATGACAGGATGACGGAACAAATAGCTATAGGCCAAGGAACTAGACAAGGTTGCCCTCTTTCTCCAGTTCTGTTTTGCTTAGTTATTGAAATGTTGGCAAATGTAATAAGGAATGATGACTTAATTGAAGGTATGGGAGAAAAGAAGAAAATAAAGATTAATTTATTCACTGATGATTCCTTATTGACAGTGAAAAATCCGTTAGAATGTATAGATAAAATTAAAACTCATTTAGAAAATTTTGGAAAAATAACTGGATTAGGTATAAATTGGCAAAAAATCCGAATTAATGTTTAATCATAGTAGAGTGGAACAAGAAAGGTTTGTTGAAAAATATGATTTTAAAATATGTAAAACAATTACATATTTAGGAATAGATTTAGCAAAAAATATCCAAAAAATAAAGGAATATAACTATATTACGCAGGCCTTCCCTCCAGGTAATCCTTGACTTTATTTTTTCTTTTCCTTTTCTTGCTTTCCTTTTTTCTTTTTTCTTTTTTGCCATCTTGAATAATTTACTAATTTTAAGTTGTGTTATATTTTTATGCGTGTACTTCATGGGAATTTTGATATACTGCAGGATATGAAAATGCCCCACATGTGCAGGAGTATTTCTGAATGCAGAAGCAAGGATAATCTATACTATTCAAATACCTAGAGCCTGAAAAGACATGTTCACATGAAGTGGAACAGCCTTCCATTTTTACAAGTTAATTTGCATATTGAAAACACTGTTACTGTTATTTCCAATTCAAAAACACTGCCTCATGTCAGGAAACCAATACAAGCCACGTATGAAAAAGGTTGTTATTTATTTGTAATACCCAGGGTTAAATTTCTTGTGGGACAATTTTCTACCCTATAACAATACAACATCCATGGGAAATGTCCCCTCAATGAAGGGATATTCTTTCTGCCTTGCACACTACAGACAACCAGATCATGTCACTGAAACAAAATGAAATCTGAAAAATCTGCAGGCTGACTAAGAGTCTTATCAATGATTCTATTTCAGAAACCTAGCATACCATCTCTGATCTATTAAAAAATAAAAAGGCAGAAAAATAGGTGTACTCCTGCAACATGTTAACATCAAGTGAAAAGATTTATAATTTAAAAACTATATGTATATATGTTAAACGCATGTCATACACAAATGTTTAACAAATAGGTTCAATTAGTGAATACATGCAATGGTACTACTGTGTTTGTACAAAAATAAGATAGTGTCTTATATTAATTTTTGCTCCAAAAACACATTAGGGCTTATTTTCAGGGGATGTTTTTTTTTCATGTACAACAATCTACATTTATTAAAATACAGTCATGTCATCTTCTGGTTGCTGCACAATGGTGGAGGACAGGGTTTCACTTAATTGGGGCTTATTTTGGGGATAGGCCTTATATTAAGAGCACCCTGAAAAATCATACTAGGGCTTATTCTCAGGTTAGGTCTTATTTTAGGGGAAACAGGGTAATACTGCAGCTGTGAGTTAAGAGGTGTGTGTGTGTGTGTGTTATACGTAATAGCCAAGAATTTTTTTCCAAGTACAGTGGTGCCTTGCTTAACGAGTGCACTGTTTAACAACGAATCTGCATAGCGGCGCATTTTTTGCGATCGCTAATGCGATCGCATTGCGATGTTTAGATAAGCTAAACATCGCACTGCGATGATTGGGAAGCGTTTCGCTTACCAATCTTCGCATTGTGATGTTTAGAAAACAGCTGATCGGCAGTTCCAAAATGGCCGCCGGGTGCAGAAAATGGCCGTCGGCAGCGTTTTTGCACCTTGCCCTCACTTACTGGGCAGCGAAAATGGCGGCCGGATGGGGGAATCTTCGCTTACTGGTGAGTTTTTCCCCAATAGGAACGCATTAAACTCCATTTAATGCGTTCCTATGGGTTCCCCCCCCCGCATAGTGACGAATCCGGATAGCAACGTTAATCCTGGAACGGATTAACGTTGCTATGCGGGGCATCACTGTATGGCCATAACAGCCATAAGAATGCATTCTGAGTTATTAAAACCATTCAGATCCCTCCCACCTTTTCCTTACACCTAACTTAGAATACATATGACACTAAGAATGTGTAGAATTCTATTTAAGTTAAATGACCCTGGATCACTTTGCATCCATCCATATTTATTTATTTGGTATAGTTGTATACCACTTAGTGCCAGTCACTACTCTGGGTTGTCAATAAATCATTAATCTGACAATACAGTAACAAATCATCAGTAATAAAAGAAAAGAAAAAAACTAATCTCATAATATCAAGATAAAGAGCTTAGCCCAACAATTAAAGGGCAGCAACAGATAAGTTACATATTTAACATGTTGGACTAACTTCTCAGTATCTACCATCGCTTTCTGTCAAGCAGTTCTATGTGGCACGGCTGAATTATTCCAAAAAAGGACTGGAATCTCAAATGCAAATAATGCAGGTTGCAACACCTGATAAAAAATAAGCAGTCTACAGTCTACCCCTTGCCAAGAACACTCCTCATTTTCTCAAAAGAGACGACACATTTCTGCACTTCTAAATACCACTGAATATTCAAAAACTCCACAGAGGCAAAAATCATAGGAAAGTGCAGTCATCATGACCATCACTATCAGGCCACAGACCCTTTTAATGGTACTGTAATTTTGTTCTAATTTGCAATTTTGAAACCATGGCAAGCCCTCCAACAAAGGCCAACCTAGCACTGCTTATAACCACCCTGTTATATGAAGTCCTGTGCAAGCAGCAACCATTTAGGTTTCATGAACATGCCTACACAAACATAGCAAGCTTTGTTCTAGTTGAACTTCATCATTGTGTTGAGTTAATCTCCAGACTTTACCATGATTTTTAAAACAGTATTGCAAATTTTTAATTTGCAGCCTATAAAGAGCTCTACTGAAGCATACTTAATATCACAGTTATACAACAGTTCACTAAGCACTATTATTTTCCTACCTTTTCAGTGGTTGGATTATGTGGTTTAGGCACAAACCCCAGCCTGTCCTTCACAGACAGTTTTGTTACATTCTAGGAAAAACAAGAGAATACATTGCTAGAATTACATATTTTTATACCAGGTACGGGTACACGTCACTTAAAACATATCTATGTAACATCAGTAGTTCTGAAGCACTCATATTTTTAATGGCTTTTTAAGTATAATTTGGTTATGGCTAAAGCCTGCCCAGTCAGGTAGAAGCACAGAAAGATAAACCCAGCATATCCTCTTACAGGCTGTGAGCACAGCACAGGACAAGAAGTTCCAGCTTAGGTCTCACAGTGCTGTACAGGAAGTTGTTCTCCTTTATTAAATCTGGTAGGTTTCAGGACATCCAATGATGCTGCTAGTATGACAGCTATGCATTCTGGGCACATTAATGAAAAGAGTAGTCATACATCATCCTTACTCAAACCTGGCAATCTTACAGATCTTGAAGGCAGGTGGACACAAAAGCAGCTTGAAAGTCACACTCTTCAGAGGAGAATGCAACAAGACATTGTACAGTTCAATCTGTCACTCTTAAAATTATATCAACATGGTACTTATCCAAAAACAATCACATATGCAAGTGATTCTAAATGACTCTATAAAGCAGAACCACAGAGCTGGAATACTATGCAACAAACATTTCTCAATTTACTCTAAGTCATCGTAAGGCCATACCTCTCAATCTACAATGCAAGGCTTCCACACCAGACATGAATGGGTGTAAGCAGTCCTTACTCACCAGTAGCCAACATCCTCGAAACAAATTATAGTAATCTGAATAGCACGGTCACTACAACCTTTGTTTATGGAATTTGGGGTGTGTGTGGGATTCATTTATCCTGTGCTAAATGTCATTAGTAAATGATGCTGGTTCCTCTGGATACTTCCAACAGCCCTTTCATTCCTTAAAATAAGCCATAGAGCAATGGTTTCCAACTCTGGATCCCCTGATCTTCTTGAAGTACAACTCCCAGAAATCTTGGCAGCACAGCTAGCGATAGAAGCTTCTGTAAGAATATCCAAGAACATCTATAATACTTCAAAGAACATATAGGGACCCAAGGTTGGGAACCACTGCCTTAGACCAACTAAAAGCTCAAAGAGCAAAGCAGCAGCTGCTGGAATAAAGTTTTCTAAATTAGAAAGACTATTTAATTCAGACAGAAAACTGCACAGGGACAAGAATGTATTCATTTATTTATTTTATTTATGTCCCGCCTATCTGGTCAATTAAGACCACTCTAGGCGGCTGAATATGGAATTCAGCTCCTTGAAAGATATATTATATACCACAAAGACTGAGTTGGAATGTTTTATTTACTTTTTTCTATTTATATCGCACTTTCACAAAAATACCTGGATGCTATAGAAATATCAATACACCACAATAAAACAAAATAAACATTTAATAAACTTAATAACCAGCAGTGAGACTGACTGTAGCAGCAGTGATTAACTGTTCCTAAATGAAAAGATAAAAAGATGGAACTTGGTCTACTATCAAAATGTCAATTACATTGATGTTAGGACAAATTACTGAGTTCTGTAATGAAAGGATGCCTTTTATATATGTGCACAACCTGATACATTTTCCCTGACTGTGAGACATAAAATGGGTCTCCCATAATTTAAAAAGGAAAAGTAAGCTGAAATAGAGAGAGAGACTGCCTTTCAGAAATCTGGATCCAGTCACTAGCTCTTGTTGGAAACAGACATTGTGGTAGCTGCCCCTGGGAAAAAAGAACCATGTCTCCTCCATTTCTAAGAGAGTCTAGCACTACAGAATCAAAATTTCTGATACAGGTTTTAAGGCAATGTCAGGTTAAGACATTTTTCAGCATACAGGTCTATATTTAAAATGAATGATACTTTGCAACAGCGATAGTACCTCTTTTTTAAATCAGAAATTTCAACGTTACCAAACTATTAATGCAGAAAGACACTTCTCATATTTGACAAACACCGTATTAATATATCAATACTGGAGCATTAAAAACTCTAGCCTCCTATTACATTGTTTTATCATGTTATATGCCAATCAATACTATGATAATACCATTTCCCTGAAAATAAGACCTAACCTGAAAATAAGACCTAGTATGATTTTTCAGGATGCTCCTAATATAAGCCCTACCCCCAAAATAAGGGGGTAGGGCTCCACCATTGTGCAGCAACCAGAAGAGGATGACATGACTGTATTTTAATAAATGTAGATTGTTGTACATAAAAAACCATCCCCTGAAAATAAGCCCTAATTCATTTTTGGAGCAAAAATTAATATAAGACCCTGTCTTATTTTCGGGGAAACACGGTAAGTACATTTTAATCATCTGCAACTTGGTTCCACAAGTTTTTTTTTTTAAAAAACAACTTTTTACTATACTATATTGGTATGTTAGATTTAAGTGCTATTTCCAGAATTATTTATTTTTAAAGAAATGTTTACTAAATACAAATCCTCCCTGATGGAAAAGCCCTCTCACCATACTTATAGGAAAAATGCTACTGCTTAAAAAGAAAATGGCAATTAAGTTTAAGGCTCATGAATATCTTCTGGGATGTTAAATGTTATAGGTACCTGAACAACTTCTGTACTGGCACTATGAGCTTCAGCTGGTTCAATATTACTTGCAGGCACTGGACCTAACCGTTCCTTGACTGATTGCTTCATAACAGGTAGAATGGGCTGCTGGGCTAAAGGCTGTATTACCTTAAAAAGAAAACAAATGCTTACAAAAATGCATGAGACATTTGATCCAAAGACAAAGCACCTTCTTGAAATGTAATGCCACAATATTTTCACTTCCAGTACTAAACTGAGTATCGGCTTGATATATTATTAGGAAAGGATTAAATACTTTAGCACTGTATTTTCAAATCTACTCAGCTTCAGAATGCTGCAGATATGGCTGATAAGTCGAAGACAGTATTATTGGTATGTATTAACTCCTTCCTGTAGGTATACTCACTCAACTGTTTTCTGTCATGATTTTTGAAATAACATATTGTAACTGCTTTTTATGCAGCACATATTATGGGGATGACATTATAGATTACAGACTTCGTCTTGTTGAAAACACGGAATATCCTTCTTTTCAAATAGCAAGCTATTCATATACCATATGCTGTTATTGAATTTTCTTTTTTCCATATTCCATTCAAGCAATGTAATTTGCAGGTGTCAGAACAGATGTTCCCCGTATTTCAAAACAAACCAAAAACCTCTGGTGTTATATAATTTACCTACTGCAGACAATTTAACAGAGATACCCAAGAACATGAAGAACAGAGCAATGGTGTGCTTAGAAAAGACCTATGCACAGGGCAATGTCAAAGATTTTGCTTAGATATTTAATTGATATCTATTATTAATAATTCAAAGATAAATTAAATACTTGTCCTTATCTTATTAGCAGTATGCAACAGTGTGTGCTTTTTGAATCTGTAGAGCCATATCACTCAAAACATCTACAGTGGACCCTCGACTTACAGACGGCTCGACTTACAGACTTCTCTGGCCGCAAAATTTAGATTCGAGTTGCAGCCGGAGAATCGACTTACAGACCAGAAAAAAAACAAAATGGAACAAAAATAGAATAAAAACTGCCAGTTATGGGATTAATTGGTTTTCAATGCATTGTAGGTCAATGGAGATTCGACCTACAGACTTTTCGACTTGCAGCCACCGTTCCAATACGAATTAATTCTGTAAGTAGAGGGTCCACTGTACTTGAAACCCATGCAGGTCGACCAGATTGTTAACTGCAGTACCTTCTGCACTGAAGTTGATATTGGTGGAGCACTGCCTTCTCTATGCCAATAGACTTTAATAAATCGATTATTTAACACTGCTTCTGTGCTTGATATAGCTTTTTTTGCCTCTTCATGTGTTGCAAACTGGATGAGGGCTCCTTCTGGATCTCCCTGGTAGGCAACCTATATTTTCAAACAAAAGACAAGCATAAGAATAGCAATTCTTATTGTGCATTAATCAGTGACAGAGCATAAACAAAAAGTGCATAGGCTTGTTATCACTGTTTAATAATATCAGTGTGCCTGGTCCAATTAATAAAAACAAGTTGTACTGTAAAATCCAAACTATTCAATCAGAATGCTCGAACAGATGTTCAGAAGTAGCACCAACTCTACCCAAAAGGCTTTATATTGTATTTTACAACAAAATAATCATACTCAGGAAGTTGAGATGGGGGGGAATAAAAAGGAGTGGACAGAATTGCTAATAACAAGCTGCTTAGAAAACCAATTCCAAGCACAATACTATTTCAAAACCCATAGCTTTGGAATTAGAAATGAAGACTTTTTACCTACCCTTATTTTCCTATATATTATCGGAGGAAACAAAGATCACTCTCCCCTCAATCTGAAAAAAAAAAGTATCCGTAGTCCACTAAACAAACTCTTCCATATAATATCTCAACGGCTAAAACTCCAATGGTGTTCATGTAACACATCTCAGTTGCACAGATGGGTATGTGGCAATTCATCAGTCAGCCACAATGAGCTATTGCACATTATACAAACTGTACCTAAATACCAATAGTGCCACACTGCGTGTATGACTACAAAGCCTTTTATACTAATGAATGGCAGTAAGGACGGACCTGGACAAACAGAAGACAAGTACAACAAAAAAACAAAGGCAAGAGGAGTAAAGGAAAAGGGATATGGGCTAACATAGTCTTGTCAAGTGACAGAGCAAATGTTGGCGGAATGAATGCTGGGAAGAAAATCCCTTTAGACTTTGCTTGTTGTAGTAAGAATAAAGTGGTAGGAAAAAAATCCATATACTTTTTATAAAAACATCTTCATAATTCAACTTTCAGGAACCAATTCCAATAACGCAACGTAATAGTAATAGATATATATATATCACTTACCTGCAAATTTACTAAATTTCCAAATTTGCTGAAATGCTCATTTAGCTTACTGATATTATTAAGCTCTGGGGGAACTTTCCTCAGTTCAAGTTTGGTATTTTCATTTCCAAACTGAACCTTCTTCTGGAAAGCTGGACTGTTTGTTCTGCTAAAATTTTGCCTGAAATAAAACAAATGGTTGAGAATCGTTTTCAGAAAGTAGTAGTATGTTAATACATACATGGATGTTAAAGGCCTAGAATTCAGATAAAAAACATCTAACTTTCAATTTCAGCAAAATGAATGAGTTTGGGAGGGGGCAGGAGAACACATGCAAACCAAACAACTACTGTACCTGAACCAACATCAAGATTCAGAACACTCACCATTAATATCTCATATAAAAATGTCCATGTCAGAGGAACATACAGTATGTGCAACATCTATAAGTATCACTGAATTCTTCTGCTACTTTTGAATGTGAAAGCATCTGAGATGCTGTTTTGAGATGTAACACAAACTGACAACAAATATCTCAAAGGAAAAACACCACTATCACTGAAGCATTCTCAGAGCTGATCCATTCTTCATCAAGCCACTTGATCTAGACAACTACAGTGGTGACTTACAAATGCCCTGACCTGTGAACAATTTGAATTACGAACAGCTGTGGCCGCAAAATTTTGCTTTGACTTGCAGCCGGAGCTTTGACTAATGAACAGAAACAGGCAGGGAAAAGGGGTGGGAAATTCAAAAAAACCTAACCATTGGTGGCAAAGAGGCTGCTTCTTTGTAGCTCTTTCACCCCAATGGTTAGGGAATGGGAGGCTCAGCCTCCCAGGATTTCAGCACCACCACCATGGGAGACCTCCCGAGGATCCCCCACCACAGCCATCGCCGCCTTCAGAGGCCTCCCAGGGCTTCCCCACCACCATGGGAAACCTCCTGGGGGGTCCCTTGCCACCACTGATCGCTGCCTTCAGGCTTTCCCGGGGGGGTAGACCGGGCCTACCAGGGGAAGCCCTGGCCCGGCAGCGGAGGTAAGGTGCTGCATTCTGCTTTTTTAAAACTTTTTTTTTATTTTTGCAGGGTGGGATTGGGCTGGTGGGGTTATGTTTCTGTTTTATTTTGGAATTGGTTTTGTTTTTTACAGCCCCAGGGGCTTGCAGTATTTTATTTTTTGGGGTATTTTTTTCTTCGGCCGGAATGGATTAATTGGTTTTCAATGAATTCCTATGGAAAATGGTGCTTTGACTTACGAACACGGTTCCAATACACATTAAGTTCATAAATCAAGGCACCACTGTATAAGGACCAGATGTGGTTCAAAAGGGTATAAATTTCTTCAAGTTGTACATATTGGTAATTCATACTTCCATGATTAGCACTATTAGTGCAGTTAAGTATGTTGTAAGATTTATAGGAACTAATCTTATACATATTCATACCATAGTGAACCAGACTTAATGTGCAATTGATCCATGGTTCCTATGACGAAAATCAATAATGTACCTCTAGAGGAAATGTTAAAGCCAACACTACTCATTTTTTCAGGTATGAGCACTTATTAAAAAATTAAAACATATCACACTTTAAGTGATATTCTAAATTATACAGATAGAACATGTTAATCAAGGACATAAACATGTCTGCCAACAGTGATGTACGCACTTATGTTTGAAATGTGTCCACATGTTCTCAAACTGCATCATTCAGTGCTACTGGCTACACTATATAGGGATGATCTTGGTACAATTAGTGCTTTGCATAACCCTGTCCACCATGCATTAGAATAATCCAGTTTGGTAGGACTTTATTAGAGTAGCTCTATTAGTGACATGCATTCAGCTACAAAAAAATAAGACTTCATTTCTGGAGGAAGAAAAAGGGTACTAAGGAGCTAATTCAAGGCATGATGCTAACTTTTTAAAGCCTTAAATGCCATGACTCCCAAATACTTGCCTGAGAATTTCCTCCCATAACAACCTAGCCATCCATTAACAGAGAACTTTCTCCTTATTCCTTCTCAAACAGAAATGCACTTATTATCTATAAAAGCTGGTTTTCTTTATAGCGGCACCCTAATGTAGCATGCCCTCCTACAAGAAGCGTGCTAGTTGGCCATGTTGCACCCTTTCTCCCCAACTCCAAGTTAAAAAAACACATTTTTACACCTATAAACTGGTTATGGTAATTCTATGTCTCCCAAATTTACTATCTTATTATTAGATTTTGGCCATGTAACGAATATTTAAAAAATTTTGCTCATCACCCTGAAATCCTCTTTGAGATGTGAAGAAAGTATTCACTACTGAGTGCCCCCAACACAGATAGTTCAAGATATCATACATAAAGTAGTCTGTGATAAAAACACACCAAAACAACCCTCAGTGCAGGCAACATACTTGAAACCAAAATGTAAAGTTTACATTAGAAGAATCTGAACAATGTGGAGCTTAAGGAGAAAAAAAACAGATAGAAATGTGTAATAATTCCAAGCCCAACAGACTACTCACTTATCAAACCAATTCTTCTTTGCTTGAATTCCATCACTCGAACCAATAGTTCTTTTTCGGGATTCAGAATCTACTACTATCCTCATGCTGCTTTTATTAGGAGGCTTTTCTGTGTGGAAGAAAGGAGTACACTAATTAATTTTTAAAGAATGTTTTCTGTGCATTTTATAGCAGGAATTTCTCTCCTTATTACCATTAGCTGACTTGCTTCATTTTTGGAACATACCAAGTCCTGTACTACTTCAAACCCAAGGTCCCTTTGGTTCACTGCTAGTCTCCCATAGATACTAAACCCAGATGCTTCAAAAGGAAGTACAAGAAACCCCACAGGGCAACTACAGAATACATTGCCCAGAAAGAAACATTTCTTTTCAACTCTAGATATTTAGCGGATGGCTTATGACTTGAAGCCTGAAAGACTGCTTTTGATATTTTCCAATATTTTTGAAAGAGAAAATAGATGGTGGGGAAGGGGTATCATTCAGGCAATCAAGAGTGCCTTGCAGATTGCACACTTTCCCACCCATACATATATATTTTCTTAACTCTTTCAAACCCAACCACGCCACACAACTCTTTTGATGCCCTGAGTTTACTATCCATCTCCTAGATGTCACCTTTTCAATCTGTTCACTCAAACTGTAAATGAAAGCAATGCTGGTGAAGTGTGGATAGTTTGTGTAGTAACTGAAATTTCTGTCAATATTTGTCCTTAAAACTGTGACACTACAGGACATGACCATCATATATGTAAATGTATACATTTGATGGTCACAATTTCTCCAACATATTGTACTTCTTGTATTGCTTCCTCTTGCAAGGTGTGATAGCAGAATATACCACCAACATAAGAGCTTTAAGGATTTTTTCCTAAGTATAGTTTTTCTTGACTGAATCATACATAGTTTGTTCAACATGTTTTGGTCAATCCCCCCCAATATTATCTTCTCATATTATATTGAATCCGTCTGTCTTATTTGGATCTCTTTGAATTAAATACATTTTAGAAATTAATGTTTGTTTTATTCCTATGTTCCATTGGAATACATTCAAATTTCATCATACTTCTGTTCATACTTTGCTTTACTGTGGGAACCATAATTAGATAATTAGATAATGTTGTTAATTCCTTAATATTCTTATGACACTATTTATTTTTTCACTTTCCATTGATTTATTTAGAAAATGTTTATAGTCACTCTTCAAATATGGGATTTAGATTTTGTAGCGTTTTTTAAATCAGATGGTTTATGTTTATGTTTAGAGTATAATTCTTCAAGACTTACTAATTTTTCTGTTATGTTTCGTACTCTGGTCTTTTTGTTGATACATTCTATCATCACTATTTTGTTTCTATACATTTTCTCAATGTACTTGCTAGTAACTTCGAATTTTTGTTACTGAATTCATATGTATTCCATTTTGTACATAACAATTTTTGTAATATTCTGATTATTTCCTTTTATTTTTCAAATCATTACATGTCTTTTTATATGCTTTTTAAAAATGTTCCGTTTCTAATATTATTTCTGCCTGCAACTTTAATTTTTCATAATTAAAATTCTGTTTTTAATCTGGTCATGTCTTGAACGTAGACCCCTTATGATAGACTTTAATGCACCACATATTACACTCTTACTTCAGTTATGTATTTGAAATAATTCTGTGTGCTTGCTTGTAATTTTTTTCTAAAAAACTAATTTTACTAATAAAATAGCATTAAATATAATCAGTAAGTTGTTGTTGAAGGATATTCAAAGCATGGTCACCTGTTTCTAGTTTATGTCAGTTTCCGCTTTTACAATATTTTGCATTAAATTAGATGATGTTATAATAAAAACTATTACAGTTTTTATAATAGTTTATATTGTCATGTGTTATTTCTACATGATAAATATGCAAAATCCTTCTTTTATGGATTATCTATTCTCCAAGCATCTATGAGGCTAAATTGCTATAAGACCTATGCCAGTTTATTTCTTTCTGGATCCTTTTCCCTTTGTATTTGCATTACATGATGTTTTTTATTATATTTTATTATATTTTATGATATTTGTAAGCTGCTCCAATTAGACGCTGTCTTGGGGGGGCGGGGTAGAAATCTAATAAATAAATAATTAAAATACCTATTTTACATTTAAACCTGTGTGAATCCAATTTAAATCTTCCCCTATTATAACTTCCCCTTGTTTAATTTATCTACTTATCAAATTTATCAAAATGAAAAAATTAAACAACAGAGTTCAACAGAATAGTTATAATGTGTGCTATCAGTTAACAAATTGAGAAATGGGAGATTTTACTATAACCATATATGCTTATTTACAGTACAAACTATATAGGCAGTGTGTGTCACAGCATGGCACAGAGAATGCAAACTAAGCCTTCTCACTTTAAATATGAGTGAATTTTATACATGACATCTACGCAGTTCAAATTTGGTATAAATATGTGGACGGTTTAAAGCAAGATGGAGACAAAGATTTTCAGGGTATGTACAGAATTATAAAAAATACTTTCTGAGCACGGCAACAAGAGAAGTTAAACGTATACACTTAACATCAGAGGAATGAGACGCCATTACATGAATAAGAGTAGCAAATTATATTAAAGAATCACACCCAGAGGTTATTGTGCTTCAATATTATTCAGTGCTAGGAAATAATAAATCAAGAGGTGTAGCAACAATTTTTTTCAATAACCCCATTTCAAAAAAAGAAGATAGAGACCCAAAAGAATGATATATCTTTGCTAAAGGGCAATACGGGAATAAAACATTTATGTTTGCTTTTATTTAGCAACCAAACAAGAAACAAATTAAGTTCCTAAGCAAAATGGGAAAATATTTAGGTACAGATTCTGAGTGTTTCACAGGGATGCAACAAGCTTTCTTGACAGCTTAAAGCATACTGTCTTTCTCAAAGGCGCAAGCAGTTTCACTCTGGCAGCTAGGAGCCCACGTTTTCTTACCAAGCACTGGCCATGATCTCTCTCTGCTCCTTCTCCCACGCTACTATTTACACTAGGGATAAGAAACCTGAGGCCCTCTCGACATAGCAGGACTGCAACTTTTAACCAGGTCTAGCTTGCACTGCCAATGGTGAGGAATGCCTGGAATTGCAATCCAACAATATCTGGAGGGCCAAGTTCATTTTGTTACTAGCAGACTTGGGTCTGGACTTGTCTATTTACAATAGTGTATGAATGTTATTAGGGACGCGGTGGAGCTGCGGGTTAAACCGCTGAGCCTCTGGGCTGCAAGGTTGAAATACCAGCAGTTGAAATCCACACAACGGAGTGCGCGCCCATTGCCTGTCCCAGCTCCTAGCAGTTCAAAAGCATATAAAGATGCAAGTAGATAAATAGGTACCACCACGGTGGGAAGGTAATGACATTCCGTGTCTAGTCACACTGGCCACGTGACCACAGAAACTGTATATGGACAAACACTAGCACTATGGCTTGGAAACGGGGATGAGCACGGCCCCCTAGAGTCGGACACAACTGGACAAATTGTCAAGGGGAACCTTTACCTTTACTATGAATGTTATTATTTTGCATATTTTACAATAAAAGGTAGATATAATATTATTTATTTATTTATTAGATTTCTATCCCGCCCTCTAGACCAAGGGTCTACTCCGGGCGGTTTACAAATTCAAAAACAGTAAAACAAAAAACTAAAGAGTTCAAGATGGCGAATCATAAATAATCAAAATATGGCAGTTAAGATATGGCCGGAGGGAAAGCCTGCACAAATAGCCAGGTTTTAAGCTTGTTCCTGAAAACACCCAGAGAGGGATCCAGGCGGCTCTCCACAGGCAAGTTGTTCCAGAGGTGAGGGGCCACTGCTGAGAAGGCCCGGTTCCTTGTTCTTTCCTTCTGGACCTCCCTCAGCATTAGGCCCCTCAGTCGCCCGGCCTGGTTGGAACGAGTGACTCTGGCAGAACTGGGTGTGAGAAGGCACTCTGCAAGATATCGAGGTCCTAAACCGTTTAGGGCTTTATATGTAATCGTAAGAACTTTGAAATCAACGTGGAAACACATACACTATTGTAAATAGACAAGTCCAGACCCAAGTCCGTGTCTACTTTAAACTAGACATAAAAGGTGAGGATAACATATGTGTAGAGAAAATAAAGTAATCCTGAAATTATATAACCTTTTTGTTTTTCATTTCATCCTAGAAGCACAAATGGGGAGTCTGAATCCTTCTTACCACAATCCCACCCCTGCTAGTCTACCTGACAGGCTTGGGTAATGCAATTTGGATGGAGAGAGAAGAGTGGCAGGCTCATGGGCAGGGCATTAAAGGGTTTGGAACCACATGGAATCTCCCTCTAAATTTTAAGCTAAGAAGAGTCTTAAGATTCAAGAAATCTTTAACAGTACCTCTTGGTGGCAGGTCCATATCACCTGATGTAAGTCCTATCAAATTTGGTCTTTGCGCATGCACTCTATGCCTATACATGGGTCTCGAAGTACTGGTTATACTTGGAGCTTCAGGATTATAGCCATCTGTGTCATATGTTTCTGGTAAAGAAAAGGTGAATTAATTATACACCGGTGTAAAAGGGGTACAAATTTCAAATTCACATGAGCTAATCATGTGTTATAAACGAAGTAACTATATACAATGATTTCTTGAACACAACAAAGTTAACATAATTTGTAATGGGAAAAATTACAAATTACTATGGAAAGCATTCAGCAGATTCCAAACAACTCTCCTGATTTTTAATCTTCTTCTCTGAATAACTAACCTTAATGACATTACTAACTACTCTAGAAACTACTCTGAAATTTGTATTTCAAAGACTGACGGAGAAAATACATTTAATGATCCACTGGATTCACAGAACTATTTTCACATTTTTTCAGCTGTACCCTTTACTGTAAACATAACATAGTAAAGGCCATTAACCCATACACCCACTGCCAAAAAAGAAACTGGAGTTTCAACAGGCAATGTGTTGGTGGGGGATGGAGGCAATCACAGAATAACTGGCAGCCTTTTGTTCCTAGGAGAGGGGTGTAAAAATTCCAAACCTTGCTACAGAGGTTTGAAATCACAGCCTCCTAGAACTTATATCAGCTCTCAAAGATGTACCATCCATTTTATGACTTTTGTGTGTATTTTTCTACATTATCCATGAACGGGTTGTGCTAAGCTTGAAGAAGCGTGATTCTCTCCACCAAGCTTGCAACTTCAATTTTTTTAAGTGGTTCAATAAAAGTTATCCCCACTCTTCATCATGTAATCTTTGGGGATCACATAGCCTTTTCCTTATTCTTTCTAACCTATGTTATGTTGTCTAGAATCAACACTTCTCACCATACTTATACAGTTGTAACAAAGTCTACATATAGTAACAAATTATGAAATGTTGATGGATAAGGGGCTACAGAGGTAAGGAAGGAAAATTCTGATCCACTAACATGACATTGTACATAATACTGTATAGGTTTAATAGGATTAAAGACCATTTTTCTTATCACAGATTAAAAAACCCCCAACCTTCTTGGACTACTGTACCTGTAAAAAGAGATGGTGGAGCCGGGGGTGGCTGGTGATGAATACCTGTTGTTACAACTGTAGGAACAGAACTGGTTGCAGAATTTGGGGGGGCATCCATACCAGAGGGCTGTAAAGGTGGAAGCGGAGGTGGTGGTCCTATCAAAACAGGAAAAACAAAGTATCAAAGGGATGAAACAAAATAGAATAAACCTGCTTAAAGTACAAAACATGCTATTATATCTTGTTCTGGACCTTCAGAGGAAGTCAGTGGTACAGTGTACCTTAGCAATCCAATTCTTGACATCCTGTTTCCAGTTCTCCAGAGACTGAATTCTATCATCAGAGTTTAGATATATACTTCGGGAAACACTATTGAGGACTGAAGTCATGAAGGAAGTAATCAGCAATACCACAATATTGGTATTCACCCACAAATAAAACTATTGCATGCCTTTCTCTTAATGTGACGTGAATATAAGCAGGAAAGAACAGTAGCACCTCTTATTGATTTCATCTAACTGTCTGAGCTACAAATAATATCCAGCAGCTAGTTTTATTTTTCAATGCTGTGACGTACAGAGAGTGAGTGCCGTCCTCAGCAGAGAAAGGACAGGAGGAGACATCCGGATGTGTAGAGGGAGAACTCATAAGGATAGAGGAAGATGAAGTGAAGAGTGAGAGGGCGATAGAGGTCTGTCTGGCAGAAGATAAGGAGGGAGATAAAGGGGAGGAGCAAGATCTGATACTATGGGAGGAGATTATAAAAGGGGATGAAGAAGTGTGGGAATTTAGGGTGGGAGTAGACATGAAAGAGAGAAGCAGGAGAGACAGACAGATAGTGTGGACAAGCAGGCTAATAAGTTTTGTGACCTGCTGAAAGAATTCCCAAACCTCAAAACAGGAGGAGGATTAATTCCATGCCCCTCCTCCCCTAGGGGTGAGAGAAAAGTAGTGAACCCCTTAGAATGGACAGTTGTGGTCTATCCCCACAACCAAGGTGGAGGGAGGAAAGTGACCAGACCCAGTCCCGTCTGCAACACACCACCCCCAGAGGGGGATTGGGCGAGACACCCATGCTGTGGAACAGTGTGTGCGGTGAGGAGTACCCCAATGCGGCTGATGATCGATCGTGAACGTTTTGGCTCAGCCCCAATGTGAGAGATGGACTATGTACCCCTGGATCAAAGATATGGAATAATTCCTGAGTTAATTAGTTTTGACCCGTTGTCTAGGTCTTCTGGATTCTTATTACCTAATGGAGTAACTGTTTTTACATGTTCCCCTCCAATGCATCAAGAGTATGTGGGTAATATAAAATCTGAATTCTCCTCAGTAATGACAAATGAAGCGGTGGAATTCCTTCCTCAGGGACCTTGCTTAGCTTCTCTCTTTCTGAAAATTGGGGGGTGGGGGGGAGACTTAAGTGCAGGAATATTTTATCTTAACATTTTAACCTCACGTGCTCTTGGGTATCAGCAGTTAGACATGGAGATGAATGAAAAAAACATTATATTCGTCAGAAATCGCTGATTCATGTAATATTTGTCACTTCATACTCCTCAATTCCAAAGGCCCCAACAAATACAAAGGGACGAATATTTACCTTTTTTATTTGTCCCTTTGATGGGCCCATAGAGCCATTCTAGCAGCCTAGTTTGCTCTCTCTGCTTATGTGCCCACTGAACAGCTGTTCAGCAGGCCTACTCTCTCTGCCCCCACAGCATGCCCTCTTTGCCTGCCTGCCTGCCTTGTCCTCACCTTGTCCTGCTACCTATACCACCACCGATGGAATGGAAGCTAGGCTATCAGAATGGAAACGGCTATTCCAGCAAGCTAGCCTGCTCTTGCTGCCTCTGTGCATGCCAATCAGCTGACTGTCATGCACAGAGAGCACATGTTAACCTTATGGAATTCCTGTTCTGGCAGCCTAGCTTCTGTTCTGGCTATGGCTGCGGTATGACAAGGTAGGGAGGTGAAGAGAGGCAGTGGGAAGGGGGGGGCGAATGGGCTCCACATTTATTTATTTTTTAATAGTCATGGGCTGTCATTTCCGCGGTTCATCTGCAGCCATGTTTTAAACAATTCAGAGAAACACTATGGGGCAGTAAATAAGATTAATTTATACAAACATTAGTTATTTATGCTGCTGTTACTTGCCTGGAGGAATCTGTTCTAAAGTCCTACTGATTTAAGCAAAATTCAAGCATGATTAACACTCTGCTTTGCATCCAGAGTGAATAATGCAGCCAAATAAAGACTAGAAAATGAGTTTCACAACACATTATCCAGCAAACAAACAACACTCCCTGCCCCCCAGAAAATAAGTTATACCAAACACAGTTATTATATAATTCATAAAGAGACATCTCCTACCTGTAACAGGTGGAAGGCTGGGCGGTAAAGGGCCTGGAGGTGGAACAGGAGGTCTAAGGTTTACAGGAGGAGGAGTAAGAATAGGTGGCGGGGGAGGAAGTCCTGGTGGAGGTGGTCCTTCAACAACCGGTGGCTGGGCCGGAAAAGGCAGTATGCCTGGAAGGTTCACATCTTCTACAACTACAGGGTCACTTCCATGATCAAAAGGACACATGTCTCCTCTCATACAGAAACCCTTTTCTGAAAAGTTAAATCAAGACATAAACAAACAAGTCAGCAATCTTCTGAGCATTATAAATTGGCAGCTTTCTACTGGCTTTATTCATAGGTTTACTGAACATTAAGACTACTGTTTAGTAAACCTTTCTATGTAAAAACGGAAAGGATAATCGACCACCCTAACTTCTCTTTTTAGATTTAACATAATAATACAAAATACTAAGAACATTATACCATTTATGGGGAATATTTATCTCTTTCCTGAAAGGACTCAAGGCAGCTTACAGTATTAAAAATAAACAATACTAAATTCTGAGTTTAATTCAAAGCAGAAATGATGGTCTTCGGAAAAAATGGCATACATGAATATACATGAAATAAGAATTAAAATATTCAGGTTTTGGCTTCTAGGCTTACCATCATAGTCTCTGCAACGTTTCTTCGGCAGAGGTGGTCTCCCATAAGAATTGTGATCCAACTGTTCTTCACGAAATTCTGACCAACTTTCAGTAGTATTATTTCCGTGGTGAGCAGGAGCAATAACTGTTATAGTGCTACTTAGCGTAGGGACAGGATAGTGGCCAGACGAAATGTTTGTCACAGAAGAAACAGGAGTATAGTTGTTTTCTAGTGGCTCTGTTCTATCCAAGTCATATTTTGGTTTTGGCAGATCCCTCTCTGCAAGAAAACATTTGGAAAGGCATTTAGCAATATAATGTAATCAATATATTGAAAACGGTAAGGCTAGCCAGCATCTAAAATTTTAAAATTCCCAAAACCCATTTGGTGTACTAATCAACAACTATACAGGACAACTAATAGAAATTTCAAATCACTCTTACAAAACATGATTAATTAAGCATTTGAGGCATCAAACACATACTTCTCTATGCCTTACTTTAACTGATTTGGAAGCCAAACCTAGTTCTCCTTTTAAATTTTTATTACATGTGAAAAGGAAAACGGTAAGAGACTGAGATGTTTCTTCGTCTTTATCTTGCCATAAGGCATGACATTTTTAAAAACTAATTTATTATTAATTATCATTTACCTAATGCACATGGCCATCCACCAAGATTCTCTTTGTGGCTTAGGTAAAAATGCAAAGTCAGATAGAATATTAAAAATACAATACAAGTTATTTTAAAATTATCAGGAATTAAAAGCTGGATTGGCTAGATGAGTTAGGTTTATGGCTGCAGAGTCAGACATTGGGAGTTCAATTCCCCACTATGGATCTGAGAAAAGCTAGCCTGTGTGGCTTTGGGGAAACTGTATAGTTTTAGGATGCTCCAAGATGAAAGGAATGGTAAACCACTTGTGAGTACTACTAAGACAACCCTGAAAAAGGTTTCAATAACTCAGAACTGACCTGATTGCACACAATTATTATTAATTAAAAACTAAATTAACCACTAAGCCCATATTCTAGTACACAGGATAAAACAATTAGTTCATATTTTGAGACCACTCAAAAATCACTTAAAGGAATAGAAAAGTCTTTATCTAGAATAAAAATTAACATAAAGGAAGTGCTGGGGAAGCACCACTAGGGACATAACTGAAATTATGTCCTAAATTGACATCCATCTGACATGGACCACTTGAGAATGTTGAACAACTTTCAATAATATTACTTCCATAGTAAGCAACAGCTACAGCTGTTAAGAGTGCACCTTAGCATAGGGACAGGTAGCAGCCAAGTTAAATATTTGTTATAGAAGAAGCAGAAGTAGTCGAGTTCTAATCACCATTTTGTCCAGATCAACCTCAAAGGTCCAGGGAATTAGCATATCATATTCCCCACCTGTCCTGGGAAAAACCACTGCAAGATGTGACCAATGCAGTTTCTTTCTTAATAATTATTAACAATATTAACAACAGCAATATTAAACAACATTCATAAGCACAAAAAACCCATATATTTCTGCACCCTTTTCCCCTCCAGCTTTCTCTTTCCCATCCCCTTCACAGTCATATTCAAAATCCTATGATGAAGCTTTCCAGAGAAAAATATAGTCATATTCTAAACATCTTTTAAGAACAAATAAATCTTATATGCTTCCCAACAAAACAGGACCAGGCAGCGCTCTAGACAAATAAACCACGTGACAGACTCTTTAAATAAACACAGTCACTGAAATCCTGCTGCTTAGTATAGTTAAGTTGCAACTAGAGTAGGCCTGTTGAATCAGAAGGGATTTGGTGAGTCAACTCCTCCATAAATTCCACTAAGTCAATTGATCTATTCTAGTTACAACTCCCTATGCTAAATAACAGAATTTCATTTAGGGTTTCCAATTTCCAATACTGCTGTTTACTTATGGTGTGCAAAATGTCCCAGTCTACTCCTCAGGAATCCTCAAAAGGCAAACAATGTTTGAACAGGCCCCAGATCAGATAATGCACTGTATTCTTATTCACTTAGATAGCTGTAAATCCCACTGAAAACAGTAGATTTTGTGTTTGAGTAAAAGAACGTAAGATGACACTGTGCTTAATAAGATACACATTTCAGAACTTCATGTGGTTTGGTTGTAGATCATCATGGCTTTCTCAAAACAAAGCCTTATGGCTTTTTCAAAGTTAATACATTATATTCAAACTAAAATATTATCAAAGTCTCATATACAGTGGTACCTCAATTTACAAACTTAATCTGTATTGGAACGGCGTTCATATGTCAAAAAAATTCGTAAGTCGAGGCAAGATTTTCCATAGGAAAGCACTGAAAACCATTTAATCTGTTCAGGCTGTTTTTGTTCATATGTCAAGGCTCCGTTCGCAAGTTGAAGCAACAAGCGGTGATGTTCGTAAGTCGAGATACCACTGTATTTATTTCTACATTTATAGCCCACCATTCTTCCAAGGATATGAAGCTGGCACACAAGGTTTTCCTTTGTTCAACTGTAATGCTATATTTTTAAATGTCTGGAACAGGATATGTCATACAAATATGTATAAAACAATGTCTAATCATGATATGTGTAAAAACTTTTCAATGAATAAGTTCTTCATCCAAATCTACAAGCAGGCAACTTCAGCAAAAATCCAATTCATAGCTTAGAACCAGTACTTTAACAGCCAGTCAAAATAAAAAAGACAACACTCACCTCTGCTCCTTGTTCTACTTCTAGTTCGACTCCTGCTCCTGTCTCTATCTCTATCACGCAACCTCTCCTTGCTCCAGCTTCTACTGCGACTCCTGCTGTAGCTCCTGCTTCGTCCCCTTCTTCTGTTATAACGGTCCCTATAAGATTCTCTTCGTGGCGGATTCCGCTCATACTCTCTCTTACGAGAGCGCTCTTCCTTCTTTCTTTCATCTCTGCTTCTAAATATATTGAGTATGCATAAATGAATTCTAGGCTCAAAACAGAATTATAGCTTACAATTCATACCAATGATAAAGGTATAACCACTTGTATTAAGATCAGTGGAAAAGTTCAAAAAACAGTAAGCATGAACATACATATTTTAAACAATATTGCTGTTACTAAATAATAACTTTTTGTTACTACGCTCTTATTAAACTACTGTTTTAAACAACAATATTAGGCAAATGCAAATATCAAATCATTTTGGTTATTATAGTTTTGGGATTCATTTAGGTGCTTAAACACATCTTTTTCAAACATTTCTTTCTCTTTCATTAAACCTCTGCTGGCATATGACCAGGTAAGACATCTGAGTTTCTCAAAAATCCCTTCACATTTTTTTCTCAATAAGCCTTTAAGGTTATTCTTTTCTTTCTATATTACCAATTGCAATCAAGAAAATAGGCTATTACCTGGTTTCTCGGTACCTTGAGCTTGACTGAGGAGGACTATGATTTAGCCTTCTAGAAAACTTTTTCTCTCGCTCTTCCTCTTTAATTACCTTGATAAAGAAGGAAGATGAAAACCATAAGCAGACATTGGCTAAAATCCAGCTCTGAGAGAAATAATAGCAACAGCAGTAGCAAAATGGTTGACACCATAGAAAAGGCAGAAGCCATAGAAAAGGTGCCCCTTGTCCTCAAGGAAACACTCATCAGACTGATCTGGAAAAAGCCCAACTTGGCAGTGGATGACATAAACAACTATAGACCTCTCGACAATGTCCCTTTTATGAGCAAGCTGGTGGAGAGAGTGGTGGCCGATCAACTTTGGGTGCTTCTGGAGGAGACCAATGCCTTTGATCCATTCCAGACTGAGTTTAGGCTGCCTCATGGCACGGAGACGGCATTGATTGCCCTGCAAGATGACCTTTTGAAGGAGACTGATAAGGGCAAAATATCCTTGTTGGTCCTTCTTGATCTGTCAGTGATCTCTGATACTGTTGATCACAGTATCCTCTTGGGAAGGCTCTCCAGGATAGGGATTGGTGGTCAGGCCTTGGCCTGGCTCCAGTCCTTCTTGGAGGACTGTAGTATTCTCCTACAGTCCTTCAAGGCTACAGGAGCGAACGCCACAAGGACCATCCACAGAAAGTGCAGCTTAGGGAGATGTTGTCCACTCCATGGACTCTCAATTGTGGAGTCCTGCAGGTTTCACTAATCTCCCCAATGCTACTTAACATCTGTATGAGGCTGCTGGGGGATGTCATCAGGAGTTTTGGAACTTTGTGTCATCAATATGCAGAAGACACCCAGCTCTATCTCTCCTTCCACCCTTCTGCAGTGGATGCTGTCTTGTCCCTTGAGCACTGTCTGGGTGCCGTACTGGGGTGGATGAAGGATAATAGACTGAGGCTGAACCCGGACAAGATGGAAATCCTGCAGGTGGGGGCTGCTAGTGTCTGTGGTTTGGGTGCCTCCCTTTCTTTTGGGGGGGGAGGGTCTTTCTTACCGCGAAGGATGAGGTGCTCAGTTTGGGCATACTTTTGGATGCAGCACTATCAATGGAATCTCAGACAGTATCAGTGGTCCGCACCGCTTATTTTCATCTAAGCCTAATAGCTCAGCTGTGTCCTTACCTCAATACCGGGTCCCTCACCATGCTGGTTCATGCACTGGTAGTCTCAAGATTAGACTACTGTAATGCTCTCCACGTGGGGTTGCCCTTGGTTCTGTCACAGATACTTCAGCGAGTCCAAAACTCGGCCGCCAGATTACTAAGTGGGGTGAGGAGACATCAACGTGTTTCCCTCACCCTGTCTACTCTGCACTGGCTACCTGTTTGTTTCCATGCCAGCTTCAAGGTAATTATGTTAACATACAAAGCTCTAAATGGTTTGAGACCTCATTATTTGGCAGAATGCCTCCTTCCGACCAGATCGGCCTGTCCTGTAAGATCTTCCCTGGTTGGGCGGTTGAGGGTTTTCACCTGGAGAGAGACTCAGAAACCAATGACTAGAAACTGTGTGTTCCCAGCAATAGCCCCGGAATTGTGGAATGCTCTCCCACCCAAAATTTGCCTGCCGCTCTCACTGGGAAATTTTAAACGATTATTAAAAACATTTTTATTCAGACAGGCCTTCACAGACTATTTTATCTTGATTCAACAGTTAATGTTCAACTCCGCCATCTTTTCCTATTTTCATTTTAATGTTTACTGATATTATCTTTACCTATTTAATACTATATTGGTTAACTTATACTTTGCCCTATTATTGTACTGTTTTGTTTTATAATCTGTTTTATTATACCATATAAACTGTCCAGAGTGACCTGGGTTGCCAGATGGGTGGTACAGAAATCAAATAAATAAATAAAATATTGAAGTCTATCCTAAAAAGCTGCATATGAGGAATATTGTGACTTTTTAGTAAATTGCAATTTAAATGTATGTGACTAGCACAGTACATCAAACATATAAAAACAAGTAATACGATAGAAACAGAGCAACAAACAGGTATAACCAATTACTACCTCCTCCTTTTTTGTTTCTTTTTCCTGATGCTGAAAGAAGTCTGATTTTAAGCTTCCTGATGATGGCTGCTCTGGTGGAGGTAGATAGCTCTTCGTATTCACAGCATCAAAAAGTTTTTCAACAAATATCTGTGTCTCTAAAAGGTGGTAAAAGGAAAATATACAAATTAGCATTAGACAAATAATTATTATACCTTGCCTTTTATCTAGCAAGCTGAATGGTTTTTCTCCCAATTTTCATCTGCACAACAATCCTGTGAGATAGATGAGACTGAAAAATACTGGTCCAACATGATCCGGTACACTTCAGGGCCAAACAGGATTTGAACACAGGTCTATTTTGTTCTAGTTCAACATGTTAACTACTACGTCACAAGTGGCTTCAATATTAATAACTGGCAAGCAATACTTATTGCTTTCTGCTACCCAACCTCTTCCATCACTTGGTTAGCACGTTATTAGACTTCAGTTCCAGAACTTTCAGGCCTGTAAAGGCAGTATCCCATTATATGTTACATGCTCCAGTTAGAGACCAGCTGTTTAAATGTTGAAGAGGAAAAATGTGAAGACATAGGTTCAACTGCTGTAAAATGAAATTTTCAGGCTCAAAAATGTTTTAATGTGCTGGACTAGAATCTTCAGTGAGAAAATACAAAAGATGAGCACTTCAGGCCAACATAACAAGGGCAGAAGTAGAAAGCAGGAAAAATGCTATTTTCTAACAGCAACTGGATAAATGTCAGGCACAGGCTCAAAAAGCAAGACTAACAACATATTAATTTACTGTAACAGTCTCAGAAAATATCTCTAATGATATTTAAATACCCTGTTTCCCCGAAAATAAGACATGGTCTTATATTAATTTTTGCTCCAAAAACACATCAGGGCTTATATTCAGGGGATGTTTTAATTTTTTCATGTACAACAATCTACATTTATTCAAATACAGTCTTTTCATCTTCTGGATGCTGCACAAAGGTGGAGGGCGGGGATTCACTTAACTGGGGCTTATTTTTTTGGGTAGGGTTTATATTACGAGCATCCTGAAAAATCATACTAGGGCTTATTTTCAGTTTAGGTCTTATTTTAAGGGAAACAGAGTAGTTGTACTATATTTCTATGGTGCAACAAAATAGCTGGTTTCCATACCTTTTCTTCTATTTAATGCAGAACCAGCCAGAGACATTATTTTTAAAACCCAAACACAATTAAAGTTAAATAAGAGAAATTCACAACTCACTGACGCTGTATATTTTAATGTTATATCCATTTAATGCTTTTTAAATATTGTAATAATTCATTATTTAGCTTTTACTTTTGTTTCTTTCAATACTGTAAGCCAACTTGGATCCTTTAAGAGAAAGGCAGCATATAAGTATTTTAAATAAATAAAAATTTAAGAGCTTACCCTTTTGAAGAAACACGTCAAGCTGATCAACACACAATGCCTTCAGTTCTTTTTCACTTTTATCCTTCTTTACCAAAGCAAGAACATACTTAGCAAGGGCTGATGGATCTGCATCACATCTGCAATTAGAAAAACAGCAACATTCATGTCTGTGCTTCTCTAAACTTGTGCAACATATTCAGTGTGTTCTATATCTTCACTCCTTCATTTAGTGTTTGCCATATATCAGATACAGAATCAATATATATTGAAAAGGTCATTTTTGGGGTTTCGTACATCATACTACAGTGCATTTTGGATCACCACTGCTAACAGGGCTCAACCTGTTTTTCACCCTAGACACAGGTTTCCACTACCCTTAGGGGCAGTGACCAAGTACAGGAAAACACTTCCTTGGACAGCACCCAATTCAAAAGCCAAGCTTTCTAGCAGCATATCCTTTGTCCCAACTGTTACCTGGTATTTTAACAGGTATTAAAGGAACTGTGGCTTCTGTACTACATACCTTCTGTAAGTCCCTATTTCCCTAAACAATGTTATTTAACTCTTTGGATTTAAAAATGAAAATCAGCCATGCTAAATATAATTACTGTTTTACCAAGAGAACAATATCATACTTTGTTTCTTCTAGGAGAGTTTGAAACTAAATATAAATTTGGAAGCCAGGATAGTTGCAAAGCAATTCTGTCCAAATGTAGCAATTGTAACCCATGCAAAGGCCTCTTGAATGAAAAATACTGGCTTTTCATAAAGCAAAATGAAGAATGCTGGTGGATGTTTCACGACTGAGTTCAGAAACAAACATGGTTTGTTTCAAAAGCTACATCTGGATGCAATACTAAAGTTATGTGCCATTAAGCCACCCCTGACCTATGGCAACCCTATAAATGAGTGATCTCCAAAGTGTTCTTTCCTCAACAGCCCCAATCAGCTCCTGTAAACTCAAGTTTGTGGCTTCCCTTAGGGAGTCAACCTATCTTGTATTTGGTCTTCCGCTTTTCCTGCGGCCCGCAACTTTTTGTAGCATTATTGTCTTTTCCAGTGAGTATTGCTTTCTCATGTTGTGTCTAAAGTAGGACAGTCCTGCTTTGTCATTTTTGCTTCCAGAGAAACTGCAGGTTTAATTTGATCTAAAACTCACTTGTTCATCTTTCTGGCAGTCCAGGGTATCTGCAAAGCTCCCTTACAGGACTAATTTCAATTTTTTCCTATCAGCTTTCACACCTATGCATAGCAATTGGGAATATAATAGTGTGCATGATCTTGACCTTAGTACCCAGTGACACATCTTTACTCCTGGTGATCTTTTCAAATTTGTTCATTGCTGCCCATGCTAGTCTCACTTTTTTCTGATTTTTTGGCTTCAGTCTCCATTTGGATTGATGATTGAACCAAGGTTCATAAAATCTTTAAAAATTTCACTTTCTTAATTGCCAACAGAAAGTTGTATAGTTCTTCTGTAGTCATGATTTTTGTCTTCCTAATGTTCAACTGCAGTACAGTACTGCTTTGCCATTTCCTTCTTTCACTTTCATCAAGTCATTGCTGCTTTCTGCATTGATACTTCTTTCAACCATTTTCACTCTTCCTCCTTCATCTGAATCTAGTTCAGCTTTCCATATATGTTCTGCATACAGACTGAACAGATAAGGGGATAAAACACACCCTTTTCTGACACTTTTGCCTCTAGGAAACCATTCTGTCTCTCCATATTCTGTCCTAACAGTAGTTTCCTGTCCCTGATATAAGTTAAAAATCAAGGCAAGTGCTGAGGCACATCCATTTATTTCAGAACAATCTATAGGTTCTCATGATCCACAAAGTCAAAGACTGCTGAAATCTATGCAGCACAGACTGATCTATTTCTGAAATTCTTTGATGCACTCCAGTAGCCACTGAATATTTGTACTATAATTAGGGGGAAGGAGAAAACTTGAGAGAACATTCAGAAAAGGCTGGAATGGAGTGAGGAGAAGAGAAATTGTCAAGAGAGGAAGAGAAAGGAAAAGCTGGAGAGAAAGAGGCTATATTAAACAATGGAGTACCAAGGGGGAGTTTAGTAAAGATAGGAGAAAGTGAGAGCCAAAAGTCAAAGAAGATCCTTCCCCTGGGTTGGGAATGGACTTGGCTGGAGAACCTCTAGACACAGAAATGTGAGAGGCTGAAGGTCCCAAGGGAAGAGGCTGAGAGGAGGTGGTACTTCATCAAAAGCCCTCATAATGGGGGGGGGGGAAGAAGCCCAGGAATGGGGATGCAGATTTAGGAAAGAGAAAGCCCAGGTGGAGGACGAGAGAAGAGACATAGCTAGGCAAGCGATAGACCTGTGACTTTCATAAGCCAGGAGAATGATCAAGACAGGGTGAATACCCAGGAGAAGCAACCATGCCCCTGTTGTCATTATCACCATTGAGAGACTGGGGCCAGTTTGACCAACTGGGACTTTGGGACACTAGCTATGAGCAACTGTTTCCTGTTCAAGAATGGTACCGTTTCCTTACTCCATTGGGATAGGAAGAAACAAATGATATCAAGCTTAATGTAAATAGTTTTACTGAAGTTCCCACAATAAATGTTAATGCATTACATTTGGAACTTGAGTTTGTGTATGAAGAATCCAAACTGGGACAAGGAGTTATTACTGATGATTCAGAACCACAACCCTCACAGATCTACACCTCTGGACAAGGTAGATTTCATTTAAGTCATAATTTAAATTTAAAAATAGGATTTATTTAAAAACTTTATTTTTAACAAATTTAAATTGTGATTTAAATTAATCTGATTTTTAAAAATCGTTGATTTTTCTCCACCCTGCCTCTGCAAGATTCAATTTGGTCCTACATATAACCAGAAATTAAGTGTTTGAAATTTACTGAAAATATTAAACATACACTGAAATTCTGTTGCTTTTTTATGCTTGCAGAAGGTATAACATCCAGTCTTTCCTAGTTGGCAGTTAACAAGCCACTGCTAGGATTCTTGGGAGACACATACCCACTGGCTTCATGCTCACTTTAGAATCCCAGCAGGGATTCATTAATTGCAGGCTAGAAATGGGTGAATGTTTTGCTTTCTGCACACAGAAATTCTACAAACATGAAATGACATGTTTTGTGAACAATGATCGATAGCGGATACACGATCAATGAGTACACATTACGTATTTTTAGAAAAAATTGTAAGTGACACAACGAGGCTGAAACATGTTGAAAGGAAGCTAAACAAAACAATTTGCTCTCTCTGAAAACAACTTGAGGGTGTTTATTTCCCAATTTTTCATTTGTCTGCAACTCCATTTCTGTCATACAAATTACTGTATCTTATTTTAGATATCATATAACAAAGCCTTGAGGTAAGAAAAGACAGCATTCCAGTTTAACACTTACTACTATATTTTAATACTCTCCCATAGTAAACAGGCACTGTCTAGGCGCATGGAGCTTGCCCCCCCCCAGCCAGTCTGCAGCCCCAAAAAGGTTGGCGACCGCTGATATAACTACCCACCAACAAAATCAACAGTTGAACACAGTAATAATCAACACCAAATATAATAATAGAAACAAATGCCATAATGTCCTCTGCTAAATGAAGACAATAAAGTTAAAATTAACTACAATCTAATATCTTATTAGAGATGGGCACAAACCACTGGTTTGTTCTTTGGACAAACAGATGCTTGGTGGTTCCCAGTCCTGCCTCCTCCAGTGGGCACCCACACATAGGCACCACTCCAGCTGCCCTGCCCTGCGCCTCTGAGTGGGTGCCCACCAGAGGAGGTTGGGCTGGGAATCTGGTGCCCACCAGAGGAGGTGGGGCTGGGAATCTGTTCATCCAAAGGACAGATCCTTAGTATTTTTCAAGTTGCTTCAACCAGAGATCCTTTAACCTGCAGGTGTGATGGCCACTACGATATACAGTACTGGCATGGGACCTAACTTAAAACTTGACTATCTTGTCTCATCTCAGTGCATTTTTCCTAGAAGATAGATCATTTTATTAAGCGCACACCAGACAGTTCAACAGGCATGTGCCTGGTAAGATACCTGACTACTCAGCAGCAATTCTTTGTGGTGAGTTACATAATTTAATGTAACATATTTAAATCATCAACAGAATTCTGACAAATGTCTGAAGAACTGACTGCAACAAACCAGTAGACAGTGCTCCCCAACTCTGGGGTCCCAGATGTTCTTGGCCAGCAACTCTCAGAAATCCTGGCCAGCACAGCTGGTGGTGAAGGCTTCTGGGAGTTTTAGTCCAAGAACATCTGGGGATCCATGACTCGGAACCACTGCAAGAGACCAAATGATACTCTATGACAGCCATGCTCAATGGAATCTTATGAAATGGTTCTGGGAAACTAAGAATACTTCAAAATAGCATAACTAATTCAAAGACGGAATTTTAAAAAAATTAAAAATTATCTTTGAGCTATTTTGATTGTACTTCATGAACCAGGAAAAAGTTAGTTCCTTACTATCCTGTTTCCCCTAAAATAAGACCTAACATGAAAATAATCCCTAGTATGATTTTTCAGGATGCTCATAATATAAGCCCTACCCCCAAAATAAGCCCTAGTTAAGTGAAACCCCATCCTCCACCATTCTGCAGCAACCAGAAGAAGAGGACATTACTGTATTTGAATAAATGTAGATGGTTGTACATGGAAAAAATAAAACATCCCCTGAAAAAAAGCCCTAATGCATTTTTGGAGCAAAAATTAATACAAGACCCTGTCTTATTTTCGGGGAAACAGGGTAGGAATCACCATAATAATTAGCATAAGATTTAAAGTGAATACTTCATATTCTTTAAAAAGAACAGATGCCGTTTCAGAATCAAAGTTTGTGGCCTGAGATAAGACCTTACAGTTTTAAAGATGTTTCCAAATTGGGCTTTTATTCTGGAATCTTGGTGATGGGGGGGGAGATTTTGTGGTCCTCTTTTAACCCTCCCATGCTTTCCCTCTGCTTCTTCCCCCCTTTTCCTTTTAAGTGAAAATCTGTTGAAGAAGAAAAGAAAGAATAGCTGCATTATGCTTTTTACTGACAGTGTGAGGAAATCTCTGTGTGGAAGCATAAGAAGTTATAACTGAAAAAGTCTATGTTGAAACTAGGCTCACAAGTTGACATGTTCCTTGTTTGTTTGTTTTTTTAAATTAATTCTAAAAACCTCAAACTTCATATATGCTGATATTTGTTATCTATATACTAATACATCTAATTTACATTGTACAGCGTATACCATTACTGAAATGAAGGAACATGGATTTCTAATCAGTACATTTCAACCATTTTAACTCTGACTCAAAAGGGCTATTCCACGGTGAGAGTGTCCTTACGTATGGAAAAAGCAGATAATTTACAGACAAGAGAGGACTGTGGACTGGGACATGGGGCATATCACCCTCAAATGTCATTGTATTGTGTGCTGCTGGCAAAGGCTACCTAACACAGTTACACAACACAAGATTTCAGGGAAGCTGAAATCTTGGAAGAAGGTTGTCACGAAGAAAATACAACCTGAATTATCTCTCAATTCCAGAAATTCTTCCGTTCAAGCAAATGAAGACAGTTAGGTACATACCAGTATTTTTCGGTCCATAAGACGCACTTCACCCCCCCAAAAAAGCATGGTGAAAAGTGTGTGCGTCTTATAGAGCGAGTACACTTCTGCAAGGGCTCCCTCTGATGTCGGGGGAAAGCCCTTGAAGACCTCCTGGGGGTTGGATCACGCAGCAGGGGACCCCCAGGAGGTCTCCAAGGGCTTCCTCCAAACCATAGGAGACCTCCTGTGGGTCCCCCACCGCCGTGATCGGACCCCCAGGAGGTCTCCGAAGGCAAAAAAGCAGGGGGGAAGGACTGGAAATTCAAATGCCTTTTTGCCTCCAGAGGTCTCAAAGGGCTTCCTCCGATGTCGGGAAGAAAGCCCTTGAAGCCCTCCGAAGGCGCCGATTGCCACCACGTGGACCCCCAGGGAGGTCTCCCAGGGCTTGCCCGCCGCCATGGGAGGCAAAACGGCAGGGGGAAAGGGCAGGAAATTTGAATCTCCCGTCCTTTTCCCCTGCCTTTTTGTCTTCGATGCACCGTATTTTTCACTCCATAATTAGCTGCATCTTATGGAGCGAAAAATATGGTAACCCCCACATGCTATTTCTATATACTGTAGTTTTCTATTCTTTCCTGGGTTTTTGGAAAACATTGCATCTTATGGAGCGAAAAATACAGTAACCCCCCCACATGATATTTCTATATACTGTACTGTAGTTTTCTAGTCTTTCCTGGGTTTTTGGAAAACATTGTCATAACAATATGGCAAAGGGTCAAGCTTTGTTTATCATAACAAACTGGGAGGAAATCTGCAGAAATCATATTTCATGAAGAAAATAAGGGAAGTAGATCTATATAATGATCCCTAGCTTCCTACAAATGTGCAACACCTTCCTTAACTTGAAATACAATAAATTAGTATTAAAAGGATAATGATTGAGGTAAAGCACTGAAGGCTGAACACCCTGAAACAAAGTGTGCACCAGAAACCAAAATAATGAGTTTAAATGAGACATAAACACGATTAAAAGCCACAGGGAATACTGCAGTGAATCAACACCTGCAGCAACAATGGAAATGTTTGCCCAGTCTATATGAATGGCATCTCCAGGGAGACCTCCAACACAGGAGATCAACATATTATTAAGGAAATAGAGAATAGATCGTTCAGAAGATCAAAAGCTTGTCTTCACCCTGGCTGTTTCCCATTTAATAATGCCACATTTAAAAAATTGACTGCTAAAATAAGTGGCAAAACAAGCAAGGTTAGTTTAGATTCAATCCTCCTTTCAAAAACAAAAACTTACATTGGAGTAGGTTTGGTATTAACAATTTAAAAAGTGCACACACTCTCCCAACTCGGAGAGCCTCCCCAGGAGCACACACAAACACACAACCCCCCCATAAGACAATGTGTTCCTAAGCTACATATTTGCAAAGAAGACAGTGTGGTTCAAACATGCAGCAGAATGAGGTGAGAATATAATGGATGAATAGATTCCATTAAAAGCAGGATGGATAGAATGGAACAGAACTTATTTTCCTGATGTGCAACTCCAGTAGTTGAAGGGATGGCATCCTTTAATGCAGCCTGAAGTATACAGGTTTCCTGCCTCCTCCGACTTCAACCACCTCATTCTACAGCATGTGGAGACTTATGCTGGGGNNNNGGGGGGGGGGGCTGACAAGTATCACAGTGCAATTAAAATCCTTCCTTGCTTGAGATATGTAATATGTAGATAGCTGCACATCTAGAATAATCAGACATACTACTTGCTTAACACTCAGAAAAAAGAACACCTAAGCTGCAGTCTAACACATGGCTAACTTGCAGCAAGACCCACAACTGAATTCTGTAGAATTGGACTGTTTTTATATGTATTGCAATTTTATGTTGAAACATTACTTTTTACAGCATAAAACCAGTAAAAAGGTGTTTACCAATTGCCAGAAGTTCAGCATTTCCAGGGACAGTAGCTGCTCCTAAGGGTCACCTGAAGAGAAAACAGGAACCTGCCCAACGTCCTGCACTTTGCAACTCTTCCTAAGGCAGGGAATCCTGCAATGCTACAGAGGCTCTATTTAAACCCTTTGTCTTTCAAAATTTGTACAATTAAGCCAGAAAAAAAAAGTACCTTTGAAGGTACTCCCTGATGTATTGCATTTCCTTGCAAATAAGCAAACAAAAATACTATGGTGGCTACATATGCCCTGTTCCTCTTGCATTGTGCCACCACAAAGCAGTGCTGCTTCTCCACAGCTGGAACTAATTACTGCTGATATTATATGTGTAGCCGATTCTTGTTATGGCCAAAAGGACGAAAGAACACATACAGTATGTGCACATCACAATTAATCGTTGTCACAAAAACATTGTGTCTTCTCACTCCCTGTGCTGTGCTAGGACAGCAATGGGAGGCTGAGAATGAAGAAACTGGTTTTCTCATTAGAAAACAGATCTCTGCTTCTTAAGAGTAACTTTCAGAACTGTACTAAAGAGTACGTATCTCACACAAAATCAGTTTCTTTGATCACTAATATATTCATGAATATTATCCACATGATGGGTAACTTACATTCGAAAACACTGACATCGTAGCACTTCACTGGGCACTCATGACAGCTCAAGAATGTCCCTTACTGATACAGCACACAAAGACAAATCTTCAATCTGTTTCTTCCTCAAGGACTCAGTTTTACTTTCCTCAGGTAAAGAACTACCTTCAGGTATGTATAATAACTTTTCTTATTTCTATATCTATTTCTATGTCTGAAAGAAAAACTACTGGGGTGACAAACATCTTTTCAAACTATTCACCAACTGCATCTCTTCTGTGCTCTGTTTCTCAACATGAAGATTACAGAGATTTAATCAAGTTGATATATACTTAAAAACAAGCAACATAATGTTCAATTCCTGAAATAGAATAGACAACACATCCAAAATATATTTTTAAGATCCCATAAAGTTTTTGCACAATAGTTAGAAATAGTCACTATCTGATCAAGAAAGTTTTCACCATCCCCAACATCATGCATTGGAACACATCACAACTCCCACAACATGGCCTTGAAGACCCAAATAAGAACTCCCATGGCCTTCCAGATCAAAATGTTCAGTACAAACCTTTCAAATCCCCACTGTCAGCATACCATTAACAGCGACTAAGGTGAAACTCTAAATTAGAGAAAGCTACCTACCTACTAAAGCATGAAAGATCAAACTATGTAATTAAATCTTTGCTTCAGCAAACTGTTCCTTGAAAGAAGGATCTCAAAAGAGGCAAGAATTCATCTGTACTGACAACTTGAAAATTAACTGAACTTTCAGTTCCAAGGTCGGTATTATATTTTAAGTAATACTGAAACGTAAGCTGTGAAACACACAGCTTAGTAATAGCAACAAACCAATAGACTGTAGATAAAACATGTGGGCCAATGTCCTATAGCAAATCCCAACTAGAGCAGACCCACTCAGTCAATTGAACTGCAACACTTAAGTAAATCCTACTAAGAAATTATGTTTACTTTTATTGACATTAACAACAAAAACCTGGCTGGGAAGACTAACAAACTCTAAGCATCACACACATCCATCAATTTGAGGGTGTTAAAAGTTACATAAAACTTAAAAATGACTTGCATATCTTGTTAAGATTTGGCATAACATAATCTACATTTTTTTTTAAAAAAAGCAAACAAACTTAACTGAAAACAGTATACAGTTCTAATCGAAATGCATGGAAAAGTCAAAAACATTCAGGGCACAGATGGTGTAAGGGAAGATTGTACCAAGGAAAGAGCAAGTTACACCCCCCCCCTTGTACAGCAGTGGTCCACAGTCTCACCACTCCAGGACAATAATTTTTTCTTATATTTGTTATGTATTTTATGTTGTAAGCCGCCTAGAGTGGTCGCAATGACCAGATAGGCGGGGTATAAATAGAATAAATAAATAAGATTTTCATGCAGACTTCCACACCCTGAGAGACTCCCGAGGTAACTACAGTACAAGTCCTACCACCCCCTGCCATAAGGTGATGTAGTCCAATACATGGAGGGGCACCTGTTTGAGAAACGTCCCTTTTATTTAAACAATACAGTCCTAGTTTCCATTGATGCAAGTAGACGGTACCTAAGCTGCATCATCACAAGACACCAGGTAGCGAAATGCTCCTAATCCACCACGTAGTTAAACCAAGTGTCAGAGGCGGGGAAGTTATGATTAGTCACAAGAGCCACATCGTTGTAACGTCGTTACACACGCAGGTGAAGGAACGGCTCTTCCAACGGAAATGGAGCTTATGTTGGTGGAATCCCCCCCCCCCCCCTCCAATCAAGAAAGCGCACGCAGTTAAAAGAGGCTCCTGACCTGCTGCGGATTCACGCCCCGAGGTGAGGGGGCCCATCTCTCCTCGCCCTCTTCCCCTCCCCACGACCTGGGCCCGACCCGGAGTGAGCCGAATCGGCCGCCGGTTACTCACATGGGCTCCAAGGTTTTGCTG